ATGGAAGATCCCAGCTAGCCAATGGCTCTCCCCTCCTTGTTAGTTCTCTTCAATGTTTGTACATGACACTTCCCATAAAAATGTCGTGTAACCAAAAGATTCAAACAAACTAACCTCGTCAACTCTATATTCTTTGCCATCTTCAAAAATAGGAATGCGCCTTTGGCGAAATTTATCATCTTCTTCAGAGTCGTCGAGGGGAGATAATCTTTAACTTTATTTGAATTATCCGATCCTTCTCCTCCTTCATCCGATGTACATTCTTTTTCTCCCCTCTTCATCTTCTTCTCCCTCTTCATTTGGCGTGTCTTCTTCTCTCCCTTCAACCCTTTCCCTTTGACCCTTTGATTTAATGCTCCCAGTTCCGCCTATTACCTATAGAAAGAAGAAAACCGCTGAAGTCCGGGAAAATATCCCCAAAAATGGAAATTGTTAGAATATTATTTATTTTGTTCAATTTAATTGTAATTGCCTTTGATTAATTAGAATTGTAGAAGTGGACTTTGTATTTAATTAGGGGCCATTTGAAGTATTTAATTCAGTTCATCCTTATGTAATTAGGATGTTTGGCCATCCCTCTATAAAAAGAAAGAGAATGGACCGAACATGTAGAACATTTTCATTGTTGTAATTTTTCGCATATCATTCTCGAAACTCTAGGTTGCGCACTTTCTCTCCCTACACTACTCTGTTGATATTTTGTTCTTCATCTATTCATCATTATGAATATAAAAAACTTGTTGTTTGACCTTATTTGTTTTACAAGTAATTTACGATTCATTGTTAGTTTATGGACTGTTGAACTAGGAATTCACAATTGGTATCAGAGTAGAAGACATGATCTGTATTCATAGTAAAGGAAATATCGAAGGATTTCTTGATCGCGCAGCCCCGCCATTCATTAGATCGTGAAGGCAGAAAACCGGACTTCATCTCGCCGACCCGATCACGAACCCCTTCACTATTTAGGATCACAAAACTTCTTCACGATCTAGTTCATTACACATCTTCGCCATCTTCTTCACGGACTTGAACAAGAAACAGCTTCGTCATCTTCTTTGCGGACCTGAACGCGAAATAGCTTTGTCGTCTTCATTTGCAGTCTCAGATCGCGAGCATCCCTCGCTGTCTCATATCGCGAGCTTCCTTCACCATCTGAGATCACAAGCTACCTTCTCCATTCAAGTTCGTGTGACATCTTTGCCATTTTAAATAACGAGCTTCTTAATACAGTACACGTCTACGATCAGTCATCAATCATTTTTTTAACATGCAAGAAACATAGATAGGTATATGAAGGCAAAAAAGGTAGAAACTTTTACTGCTTGTGACTCTCTTAAGGCGCAAAATGTGAAGAATCCTTAGAAGATGTCAACATCCGGTTTTTGAGAAATGTTAATAAAGAACTGAGGAAGATTAATGTGCACAAATCAAACATATAGCGGTATGTGAGATTTATATCCTCTTTAACTCCAGAATGGAAGAATTTGTAATCATTCATACAATATACGAAAGATTTGGAAGAAATGAATATTCACGTAGTGTACAATACTCTTGATCATTTTGCAAATAACCTCTCAAACATTGTTGATGAAGAAAAGGACAAAGACATAATTGACACTTTGGTTGACACCTTGAGTGTAATACTTAACCGACCCTCCAAATCCATCTCTAAGCCTCAAGGAAGAGAAGAAGATGAAGAACTAAGGAAAATATTTTAAACTTTTGTCACGGATTGGATCCATGACAACTTGCCAGACCAAAAAACAGTTTGTCGGCATATATTTGATGACTTCAGTGTAACATTGTCATGAATCTTGTCACAGATGAATTCTGTGACAAAGGTTTCCCTGAGTTGATGTAAGTTCTCATGACAAAATCCATGACAAACCTGTCACGGACGTATTCCGTGACAAAATTCCTTGACAAAATCCATGTTTCTTTGTAGGGCATCTATTGTCAAACCGCTATCATAATCCGCTAACAGTTAACCAACGATTGCCAAACAAAGTCAGTTCTATTTGTGCACTTTATTCAAGTTTTAGTCTTATTTAAAGCAATTTCTATATTATTATTATTAGATTATTAATTACACATGTGGCCCTACCTAAACCTGACTTCCAGAGGCCTAGTTAGCTTTTTTGCATTTTAAACGTGTTTTAAACATGTATCTTTTTTTTTACTAAAACACGTTTAAAATGAAAAATGATGTCGGTCCGTTTAAAAAGGAAAAAAAACTTCCACTTCCCATATAAAACGTATGTTTCCCACATTTAACAAAAACAAAAACATGAATTGACCAATTGAATAAATGCATTGAATGCATATATACGATCAGCAGTAGTTTAAAAGTAAAAATGAAAATGTCCTTCTCATGATCCCGAGTTTTTGTAATGTCACAATAGAGTTATTAAATATTAAAGTCAATTGCATGACGGCTAAATCTAGATCCTAAAAGACTATAACTTAAAGTACTACTAGATACTACTACCTCTGTCTCATTTATATTGTCCCAGAAGAGGGTGGCACGGTTATTAAGAAAGGTGGGTTTGTATGTTTGATATTAATTGATAAAGTAAGAATAATTTAGAACCACACAAACTTTGCCAAATATGGTATGGAACAATTTAAGTGGGACTTCCCGAAAAGGTAAAACGGGACAATATAAATGGGACGGAGGGAGTAGTTGTTTATTCAAACAAGCATATCAAAATTAAGGTTTTTCTAAACTTCGCATTGTTTTGGATAAATTTTTACACATAAACCATAATAAGTGTGGCAGTCGCTCAACTTTTCTCATATGTCATCCATCACCTTGATGAGAATGATTTTAAATTAGTCTCATTCTATTGTTATTATGCCTTATTTCTAACATTATTTTATAAAATATATGTGGGACTTAATTACTACTCCGTATTTTTATTTTTTTTCGTCGACTTATGCAACTACGAGTTATTCTTTTATGTAGTAATGAGATTTGGTACTTGAACATGTGTTTACTTTTATTCATTTTTACTATATAAGTTACATTGTGAAGTATATAATTTAAATGTTCAAAATAATACTCCGTATTTTTTGTCCTAATTTTTGTAACAAATAATGTATTATACATGTATACGTATTTATAAGTTTTTAAAATTCAATGTTCTTTTCAATGTGTACGTATTTATACGTTTTTAAAAGTCAACGTTCTTTTCAACAAATTTGTTACCGTTTTTTCATTCACCGTTCACGTTACCGAATAAAACGTGTACGTAATAAACCTCGTTTAATTCTTGTATCATTTTTAACTAACTATGTGCACGGATAACTTATTGCGATTTGCAAAGTACTACCTCCGTCCCACAAGATTGGGACGAGATAAGGTGACACGATTTTAAAGAAAAGTGAGTTTGTGTGGTTGATATTAAATTGATAAAGTAAGAAGGGAAACCGTCAAATAGGTCCTCGAACTTTCATAAAAAAGTAAATTAAGTCCTTCTATAGGAAACTCTGTCCGGTCTTTGCGATTTGCGGCGATTCCCGGTGGAATTTTTTTATGAAATTGTTTGAGCGTCTTATTCATCAAGTCTAGTTTACTCATACCAAATTTCAGCTAAAAATTTAATCGGGAGCGCATTCAAATTAATTCGAGAACACAAAAATGCGCATTTATCTTCAAGAATTAATTTGAATGTGTTCCCGATTGAATGTTTAGCTGAAATTTGGTATGAATAAACTAGACTTGATGAATAAGATGTTCAAAAAAATTCATAAAAAAATTTCACAGGGAAATGCCCCAAATCGCGACGGCCGGACAGAACCTCCTATAGAAGGACTTAATTGACCTTTTTATGAAAGTTCGAGGACCTATTTGACAGTTTTCTCCAAGTAAGAATAAACTAAAAATGGTTTAGAGCCACACATTCTTTACCAAATTTGGTATGGGACAATCTTAGTGGGACTTTCCTAAAAGGTAAAAATTGGACAATCTTAGCGGGACAGAGGGAGTATTATTTATATTATCATTATTATAATTAAAAACTACTATTACGATAATTATTATTATTATGAGAAAAATCCTTATATAGGGCATAGTAGTAAAATATCGTTCTCGTTTTTTTATAAAAAATACTCCTCTATCCCTTAACTTTGTCTACTCTCCTTTTTTAATTATAAAAAAGATACTACTTTCTCATGAAAACAACTAATTTATGATTGGAAAAGTTCCCAAAATAGGACTAAAACAGTTTGAAAATGTCAAAATAGGACTAACGTGTTTTTTATTCCCAAAATAGGAATAATTAATGCCAAGTTTGAAAAATATAAGGAAAAACTGTCAAATAGGTCCTCGAACTTTCATAAAAAAAGTCAATTAAGTCCTTCTATAGGAAACTCTGTCCGGTCTTTGTGATTTGCGGCGATTCCCGGTGGAATTTTTTTATGAAATTGTTTGAGCGTCTTATTCATCAAGTCTAGTTTACTCATACCAAATTTCAGCTAAAAATTTAGTCGGGAGCGCATTCAAATTAATTCGAGAACACAAAAATGCGCAGTTATCTTCAAGAATTAATTTGAATGTGTTCCCGATTGAATGTTTAGCTGAAATTTGGTATGAATAAACTAGACTTGATGAATAAGATGCTCAAAAAAATTCATAAAAAAATTTCACAGGGAAATGCCCCAAATCGCGACGGCCGGACAGAACCTCCTATAGAAGGACTTAATTGACCTTTTTATGAAAGTTCGAGGACCTATTTGACAGTTTTCTCCAAGTAAGAATAAACTAAAAATGGTTTAGAGCCACACATTCTTTACCAAATTTGGTATGGGACAATCTTAGTGGGACTTTCCTAAAAGGTAAAAATTGGACAATCTTAGCGGGACAGAGGGAGTATTATTTATATTATCATTATTATAATTAAAAACTACTATTACGATAATTATTATTATTATTATGAGAAAAATCCTTATATAGGGCATAGTAGTAAAATATCGTTCTCGTTTTTTTATAAAAAATACTCCTCTATCCCTTAACTTTGTCTACTCTCCTTTTTTAATTATAAAAAAGATACTACTTTCTCATGAAAACAACTAATTTATGATTGGAAAAGTTCCCAAAATAGGACTAAAACAGTTTGAAAATGTCAAAATAGGACTAACGTGTTTTTTATTCCCAAAATAGGAATAATTAATGCCAAGTTTGAAAAATATAAGGAAAAACTGTCAAATAGGTCCTCGAACTTTCATAAAAAAAGTCAATTAAGTCCTTCTATAGGAGACTCTGTCCGGTCTTCGCGATTTGCGGTGGTTCCCGGTGGAATTTTTTGATGAAATTGTTTGAGCGTCTTATTCATCAAGTTTAGTTTACTCATACCAAATTTCAGCTACAAATTTAATCGGGAGCGCATTCAAATTAATTCGAGAACGCAAAAATGCACAGTTATCTTCAAGAATTAATTTGAATGTGTTCCCGATTGAATTTTTAGCTGAAATTTGGTTTGAATAAACTATACTTGGTGAATAATATGCTCAAAATATTTCATAAAAAAATTCCACCGGGAAATGCCCCAAATCGCGACGGCCGGACAGAACCTCCTATAGAAAGACTAAATTGACCTTTCTATGAATGTTCGAGGACCTATTCGACGGATGATCAGAAGAACCAGCTCAGGAGCCGAGCCGAGTCGAAAGAGGAGGAGGCTGACAGCTTGTATGCGATGCAGCTGGCCAGCGCCTCAGTGCTTCCCATGGTGCTGAAAGCAGCGGTGGAGCTGGACCTGCTGGAGCTCATGGCTCAAGCCGGATCGGGAGCGGCCGTGTCCCCTTCTGAGCTGGCGGCTCAGCTCCCCGCCACTAACCCGGACGCAGCCGTCATGCTGGACCGGATTCTCCGCCTCCTCTGCACCTACTCTGTCCTGAACTGCTCTCTCCGGACCCTCGCCGACGGCCGGGTGGAGCGGCTCTACAGCTTGGCGCCGGTTTGCAAGTATTTGACCAAGAACTCCGACGGCGTTTCCATGGCGCCGCTCTTGGTCATGAATCACGACAAAGTCTTCATGGAAAGCTGGTAAGTAATTTACTCGTATTCCCTTTTAATGCACAGTCAAGGTGAGCCCCACACTTTACTTTCCTTTCATTCTTATTTTCTGCGGTAGTTCTTTGGATTTGAGTGGGAGACATTGGAAATGAGAATCATAACGCCATAAATATGATTCCATTCCTCACAAAAGTGGTGGAATGGCCCACATTCCGATTCGGCAGAATGGTGCTGAAGTAAGTCACGATATGATCTCAAACAAATTCTAAATGAGGTGCTTCAGGGCTTGGTGCGTACAAGAAGTCACCATGCCCACCACATCGGATGAAACTTCCACATTACCGCTGCCAGAAATTGAAGCTGAGACCTCAATCCAACAACCTCACTTAGCCATTGTTGAACTACCTGTGCGGGAAAAAATGATTTTCCTAATTTTAGGGGTGGGCGCATCAGTTTTCGATTCGGTCATTATCGGTTTCAAATAGGTTTAAAACGAATTGAAATCATTATTATCAAATAAAAATCATATAATCTTTCAGTTTGGTTCGATTCAGTTTGGTTTAGTTGAGTTTGGTTCTTTAGTTAGGTTTGGTTTAATGCGATTTGAAAGAAATATTACCAAAATTAAATCAAATTGCATATGATTCGTGTTTGATTTGGTTTAGTTCATAGGTTCACTCGTACGTAATTTTTGGATAACAAAATTGATGTGTGTGTATAATATACATGTTTGGTTTTTTAGTTCGGATTGGTTTAACATCTTCAATTCGTTAATAAATATGAGTAATTAAATAGATACAAAATGTTGAATTTTATATTATTCATAAAACTATTTGCATATTTATGAGTAAACGAAAAGTTATTTATAAAAATGCAAGTGACTCCTTAAATGCACTTATTGGGGGTGTTTGACAATTGGTCGTTGGTTGTTGGTCGTTGGCTGATTCTGTTGGTTGATTGGTGATAGCGGATTCTATTATCTGTTTTGATTAACTGATTGTGTTAGTTGTTTATAAAATAGTGTTTGGTTAAATAGCTATTTACAATCGGCTGATAACTTGTTAAATTACTTTTAAGAACATCATTTATTTTTTTTGTTTGTTAATATTATTAGTACAACTACTTAAAAATTAATTTATGATTTAAAAAAAATAAAAAAATTATGATAACAAGTACTCCGAAATAATTATTTCAACATTTTTTTTGTTGAATCTGTTATGGTTGCACTAAGAATTAAAGTGTTTTCAAAACTTCACTCCAGATTTTGTTATGGTGATTTATATGCATATAGCTAGAGGAAATTACATACCTAACCGTTTAAGAATTTTGTCTTTAATCATTATATTCCCAAGTTGTAGTTGGAGTTCAGGGATATTGGATGACTTTAGTGTGCAATCAATCAACAACCTTTTTTTTTAAATACCGAAAGAGGAGAAGTGAGGCACAAAGAACCTTGGGCAGAAGAGGAATATAGGCGAAACATTCAATCCACGAATCCACCGGTGTGTAAACGCTGATTTCTTTAACTTTTTCCATTTTTGCTGTTTTGGATAAGGAAAATTTTACGGTGCACTTAAATTAGGGAGTGTTTTGGTGCATTCCACATTTGGCACCATTTTATTGGACAATTAGTCCAGCTCATCTTTTTATCAAAAGATACGTCTATTTGCAAGCAGGTCCTTCACTAATTCCGACTAATTTATCAAAAGATACATTTATCGAGTTATCGCAAAGAACAGCGCGAGAGACTGAAGAAAGGAAGGCAGGGCGAGAGATGAAATTCGTTCAAGCTGTGTTTGGTGTTTGCTAAGGCGAATAAGCCGGGGCAGAGAAAAGAAAGGCCGACACCTTGATTAGTTTGGCAGCTCCGCAACATCGAACACCAGCCCAGGAAGTTCTCGGTCAGCTTCTGTTAGAGTTTTTATGCCTAATTTGATTTGCATTTTGGACTGTGAGTTGGGTAAATATTGATTTTTTGGGTAAATCGTGGTTTTTATCTACACACAATCATGATCTTTTTCATCATCTTCAAATGAAAGAGGTAAACTATGCCAAAATTGTAGTACATTTTTTTTTGTGGAAACTATATTAGTGATGATTTAAAATAATACACTGGAAGAGTATTTAGATCAAAACATGCTATTACACTACACCAAAAGGCAAGACTACAACAGATTCATCAGATTAAGGCTTATACAAGTGTGAATCGTCCATGAGCGGAATTACATGACCCTTGGCTTTAACACAATAGTGGAATGCTTCAAAATGTGAAGACTGAACTGCCCGCCCTTCTCACTGGTATCAACCTTGGACTGCCCCGGTGGCGGCAAGAGCTCGAAATTCTGGACTATACGCCCCAAGACAATCCCTAGTATGGGCAGCGCCAGGATTATCCCTGGCAGCTCCTCCTCCCTACCCCAAAGGGCAGGAACCTGATGTCATTCCCACTGGCCTCAACGTAATTGTAGTACATAATTAATGTAGCAATAGTTTTCTCTGCTCATTTTCAACACCATCTTGTTCCTTCGCATTGTCTGAAATTGTAATGTCCATTTTGGTTTATAATGGGTTTTAATTGATTTTGTGTTTTATTTGGATTAATTTATGCTATAGTGTTTTTACTATATTTTTTCATTTTATGATTATTTTAGTTTGCTGATTTTCATTTTAAAATTTATAATATAAAAGTCTGTTAAACTTCCATGTTTGTAATGTGTTTGATAAAATGTTAATGAAATTTTGTATTAGATTAGGTATTTCTCTCTTAAACCATCTATTAGATTTATGCATGAATGAAATGTCAGTTGTTAACATTGTTTAAATTTAACTAATCTCTCCCTTGATGTGTTTTCTGACTTCATAGTTAGCTTGCATACTATGTCATGACAGATTGACAGGGTTGTGATTAGTCTAAGACAAAGGTCATGGACTATTTGGAATGTGTGCAAATTAGAGTTGAAATACGTTTTAACATGCCTATTGTGGCATGCAGACCACAATTGCAGTTTGAGTTCAATTCAACTATTACACTCACAAACTATTTCCAATCCTCTCTTTTACTTTTATTATTTAACTTTTATTGTTAAAAAACCGGATGTCCTTTTAAAAAATTAGTGCATTATACTTTATGCTAAAAATGGATTAGTGTTCCTCATTTTCAAAGAATACATAAAGAAGCAGAGACTTCGGTTTTTTGACCTGCTGGAGCAGAGACTTCGGTTTATGGAAAAAACATTAAACTGCACTACTACGTCCGCAACCATCTCAGCTGTCTCTTTCTCAAGAAATTTCATCCCAGTAGCCTGCATTTTTCTCTCAGTTCTCTCAGACCTCTTTGGATGATATTGCTACTAGCGAGCAGGTACTGCCTTGGTCCCTAGTATCTACTATCCTAGTGTTACACCTTATTCTGTTTGTAAAGCTGTAAACTTTTAATCGTTAGGCTATCTGTGGAGTTGTAACTATGACATTACATCTTCTGTAATGTACTACGTATTACCTTTTAACTCTTAGATATGAATAAAGTAATAATGTTGTGAATTCTAGTTTTATTTGCTCTGATGGATTTTTTTCAACTAGTGTTTGAGCAACCTTTTTTTCTTTTCTTCTGGGGGGCTGGGGGGCCTGGGGTAAATAAGGGTGAGTGTCTCGGCGGCCAGTTGAGTTGGATCGCTTCCTCATCTAGCGGGTTACAAGAAGAGATGCTCCCCTTAATATGGGAAATGTGTTCTTTAAGACGATGAACCCCACCATTCCCTCCAGACTTTTTCGTATCACAAAGTGTGTAACACGTTAATCTTTTATTAGTAGGATCTCTACACTCATGCCTTGTTTAAACTTTTGTTTCAAGTCTTTTAATTGTTTAACAGTGCCTTGTGCTTCTCCTTACTTTAAGCATTGTAAAGTTAAAGCTGTAACACGGGCACTTAAAGGTATTTTTAATTTCTTATACAATTTTACCTAACAAATATACCTAAAGTTATACCAACACTTATAGCTATTTTTCAATCACTTTTTAAAAAAGATGTAATACAGGAAGATCTGTTTGCTATTTCAAAGTTGTTGCTTTGCTTCATATGTCTGCATGTGGTAACCCGCTAAAAAGTGTAGACCTACTAGTTAGCCTTTAAAAAGCCCACAGAATGCTTTTTTTGAACTTACACCTTGAGATAGTAATTCTTTTCAGCACTTGATCCTTTAGGTGTATGCATCATCATCGTTGACTTGCTCTTTTTCATGTCCTCTGTTTCTTTTCATACCCATTGGAGGTACAAAGCCTTCTTTAGCAAATTGCAAATGGTAAGTTTGTTTGTTCCTTGTCCTTTATATGTTGAGTATGTATCATAACTTTTTTGCTACATAATGCAGGTGGATATTGTAATGGTTTTAAGGCGCTAATTCAGTACTTGTGTCAAATTAATATTAATAAAAAGGTTGGCTTGTAGATTTTTTAGCGTATGCGCCTAACCTAAGTCCTAATGATTAATCCTAACCCGAGTTATTATTTTCCATACCTTTCCCATGTCATCGATCTTTATCGTACGTACTAAAGAGTAGCTACTAGCTAGAAGACATTTATCTACTGTAACTCGTTTATTTTTAATGTACCTATTCATGAGGTTTTTTTTGAAGAGGAAATACTTAATTATTACGGAGTATTAATTAAGTCAGAGTTCAGGACATTCACAACAAAGCTAGGAGGAAGAGATAACCACGTATGACAATCAGGCAAAGAAACTGGCAAAGAAACTGCAGCCTTGGCGAATTCATGGGCTACCCGTTCGCTGACCGTCTGACATGAGCAAAAGAAATGCTGGTAAAACGGGAGCCAATATCCCTGATATCCTCAGCCAATACACCCATGGAGTAAATGCTAGAACTCGCTTGAATCTCTGAAATAGCCCGCAGCGCATCTTATTAAACATCTATAAATTCCCAACCGTACCTTTTAATCCATATAAGTGCTTCTCTGATAGCCATAAGTTTAGCTTCCAAAGAAGACAACCTCCCCTGCCAAGGTGTTGCTGCCCATGCAATAAAGCTGCCCGAGTCGTTCCTAAGGACCGGGCCAAAGCCGCAGCAGTCCACTCTTGTTCCTGCATCAACATTCAACTTCATCTGGCCCTCACTCGGACGTGTCCAGGTAAGGCTGCTGCCCGCTGAATGATTTGCTTTGTCGTTGAGGAGACTCCATTCCATTTCCTTGATTTCTCTCACACCATAAACCCCAGCAACCCCAAATCAACCTACAAAGGTCTTCACCTTTCCTTGACTTGAAATTCACCTACAACCAATCATGAAAATTGTTACAGGCCCAACCTTGCCAACTCCAACCAATTGACCCCCCATATCTGCTTTGCTTCGGGACAGAGTACAAATAAATGCAATAAGGATTCATCATCCCCTCTACATAAGCCGCAAGACTCCGAGCAATTGACCCTTCTGGACCGCAAATTCTTTGTAAGCTTAAAGTTCTAATGGAGATGTACCGTCGGTAGCTTGTATCTTGGTACAATGTAGCATATACAAAAGACAATGTTGTATTTTGTTAAGCTCAATTAGTGAAATTCTTATGGCTCTTATTTTGGTACGGAGTAAAATTTTTTCAATGTTTGTTTTGCACTACGTAGTATATTTATGGTCTGTGGGCTTACCATAATCCTATTGCAAGTTTAATGTTTTGATTCAAAAAACTATTCAGAGGATAGGCATGCAATTTTTTAAATATGAGTTTTGGACATTTTAAAATTGAAGTAATTTCTTTTTTAAATGATAACTATGTTTATTTTGCAGTGAATGCATTTCTATATTCTCATGTGAACTAATACTCTCTGCAGAAGGCCCTAAAGCTTCCACCAATGCTTTGTAATCTGAAATAATTCATTTTAAGTATTAAAGAAGAAGAATACACAATAGTTTTAGCCTGTAGTAGTAATCATTTTTTTACAAAAGCATAAAGCATTGCCTTTCTCATTCGTATGGATATAAGCTTAATTCATACGGAGTACAAAGTATATATGTACTCCGTATTATTTAGAGGCCGTTTGGCAGCATTGTTTTTCGGCTTATCAGTCAACTTTTTCACTAAACACGTAACTTTTACTTTCATGCGCTGAGTTGTGTAATAAGCAGAAAAAGTAAGATTGTAGTTACTTTTCTGACTGTTTTGGCTGAAGTTACTGTAGATGACCATTTTAGCTATTTTTACATATACTTTTTTTCTTTATTTTATTAATAAAATATATTTTAAAAATAAGTTTTTCTTAAATCAGCAGAATCAGCCAATGCAGCCACTTCAGCCAGAACTTCAGAAATTTCAACAGAATCAACCAAAACAGTCGATTTTCGTGCTACCAAACGGGCTCTTACTCTAGGAAATATGAACAAAAAAATGATCAATTTCTTGCAGTAACATCTTGGCCTCTTGGGAGCCATTATTCAACTTGCAATTTCAAGATAATTTGAGAAAAAATTCAAAAAAACTTTAAATATTCAAAGTATAGAATATGGATTTAATTACCACCTTATTATCTATCTTATGATAGTTAGGTCTTTGTATTGATAAGTTTACTCGCCCCATAGAAACATTTAACTCCCTTCATCCCATTTTGTTTATCTTACTTTACCATTTAAATTGTCTCAAAATAAATGTCATGTTTTCTTTTTGGCAAAAAATATGTAGTTCATATATGTTCACTTTACTCTACTCAAACCTCAAACACAATTTTTACTTTTCAACCTCTTTATTGACAATTGTGTCATACTAAAACAAGACATAAAATGAAACGGAGGTAACACACATGCCACTAATGACAAATAAATCTTACACTATTTACCACTAATACATTTTCACATATACATTATAATACTATAGAAATACTATATGAAACACACCAATCATCTCACCATAAATTAATATCAGTCTACATAACAATTGCACATCTTTTGCACATTTGCTAACTTCACTTTCTCTTTTTATTGTCATTATTAATATTGTAAAACTCCCATTCAAAGGATTATCACCAATTCTTCTGCAAGACACCCGAACACGCACACCATGTCCTCTTATTCCATCATGCTCATGTAAATCAACTTGGAGTTTATCTTCTTCAATAGGATACACTTGGGTCAAATGTGTTCTAATTTTTTGCCTCCTCCATAACCTTGATAATTAATACACATGCACACATCAATTTAGAATGAACAGTTTAAATAATATTCATAAGTAAGAATAAATAAAAATTCACAACCACAACAAATTGGAGAAACTAAAGCCACAAGAAGATCATACCTGCATGTATTAACAAAAAATCCGATTAGGCATTTCCAACTCAAAAGATCCACCTGAAATGAAAAATTCTTCTAATAAGTGAGGGACTATGAGACATTAAAGAATAATCATACAAAGAGGATCTTATTGAGAGTATATAAACCCCTTACTATGATACAAATGTTTTTACTCAAATTTCATTCATGTGCAATAATGCTTTGCATTTGGATCATGAACATGAAAATCAAAGTAAGAGATAATGTAAACGTTTTATGGAAATTAGTGCTTACTTATATATTGATAGCTCCAAAATTAATATGAACTACTATGTTGGTTTTTAAAGATCCCTAATCTAATACGTAGTAAAATATTTGATTAAAACAAAAAAAATATACAGAATATTATAAACCAAAATGAATATCACCAAAAAGGATCGATAATAAAAGAAGAAGGAACAAAAAATGTAGAAATGAACAAAAACTGTAAACTTACCTCATATTGATGTTGAGACTCCAACTTCCACGATTGTCTTTAAGGAATCCTTTGCATCATGCTTCACCGAATGGAATGATTGTAATGGTAGAAATGATAAAAAAGACTATGGAAACGAGATACAAACATATGGGGGGGGGCATATAAAGCCAAACTGAAATAAACATTGCTTATCAGAATGAGTCTAATCCCTAAGGTGATAACCAAGGTGTGATTGCAACCAAATAGTAGGTTATGTTTTTTGTGAAGTGATAGTCATGTTTATCTCATGAAATAATCAAGTATGTGAATCTGCACAAATATAATGATTTTTCAAATATTTCATATTGGACTAGGATAATGCTTTCCATGAGTAAAAAGATTCATGCTATCAATTTATCATCATCAATATCATCACCTTAGTCCAACTTAGTTAGGAATGACATTAAATCGTAAGGACAACTATAGGTTAAAATGCCATTGCACTGCCATTTTATAAAACTAGCTAAAATGACATTGCACCTGAATTGACCTGTTAGCTTGTTAGACCTAGACTAACACAAACTTAAATAGATCATACTAGACCGGTAAAACCCACTTAAATATACTAGAACATAGCAGACAATGGATGAGCACTAGAGGGAAACTAAGAAAATATGGCTCTCTAATAAGAAAGGTGTACGGACGAGCAAAACAATTCAACAAAGGCAAAATTTGGTGTAGATCATCCCTAATCACCAATTTATTAAAATCATGAATTGCATAAAGTGGGGGGAGGATTCTCCTACCATTTTTGAATAATGGAAATGGCTATGATCAGAAAAATGACAAGCCAAAAGTATATGCAATTGTAACTCCAAGTCCCCAAGCACCCCATTCAAGTAATTCCACCATCCCAAACATGACATCAGAACATTAGATACAATGAATACGTCTGTGAATTATGGGCGGATCATATGAAAGCAAGCATAAGAAATTCCTCTTGGATTCGCCCGAGACTCAATTAGTAAATTTCAGCCTCCCACTGCCCCTCACCCCAAGTACATTTTTGTTTCTTTCGCTGAATCACTGTGATATTCATACCAAATACTCAAGGTAGTTAACTTCTTAATCTATGAGATGCATTCGCCACTGAATGATTAATCCCAAAAATAAAAAAACTATGTAGGATGCAAATGTTTTTCATGACAAACAAATATACTGAAACCTAGGAGGGTGTATTTAGACCACATGAAAAATAAAGAGAGAATAGAACCGCTTCGTGTATTACAGGAGAAAGAAAGGTTAGCGTCCTAAGCCAGCCCGGAACTATCCATTTTTGGAGCTTCTTCTCTGAATTTGTTCCAGCAGTTTTCAAGCCTCGAATCCCAATTTTTGGGTCCTTCATTGCAGAGTCTTCAATCGCTGACACAAACCACGATTTGGAAATCCTCTTCCATCCTCCCCAGACACAATACTCACTAGCTCTAACACCATACCGGAGAGAACTTACTCACCGCATCATTAATGTTCTTAGTTGAACGGAAAGCTCACAGATGAAGTTGTCTGTGAAGGAGGCGATTGGATGGCTAGGTTGAACAAGGGCGGCACAGAATCGAGATGACAGAAGGGGAACGAACCTATTTTTAGGATGAGCTTACAAATATCAACTAGTCTAGGGTCACATTTACAATTTTGGAAATTTTTAAATGAATGGCTGATGTGGAATAAATATCAAATAAAATTTTGCCATGTGGTGAATGCACCAAAACATTCACTAACGTGGATGCACGGAAGAGCTGCCCTTTGGATAAAAAGCCAACTCAAAAAGTCAACTAACCAAACACTTCAATTGGCTGTTTATCTGGTCAAAAAGCCAAATATTAGTCAAATCAGCCAAAAAAATGACTGATAGGCTACTAACCAAACACCCCCATTATAGTACTCCGTAGTTATTATAGTACTCCTTAAATTTAAGCCCCCCATATACTATACTAACAATGTCAATTGCCCCCCCCCCCCCCCCCCCGAACTTAAAAAATGCACGATTAAACACCCGAATTATGAAAAAACGTTCAAAATGGTTTTTTATCAGGTAACCAACCGGTCACCACCAGAACCTTCATATATTTTTACAAGTGGCGATACGTGGTGACACATGTGAAATATTTTCTTTTTTCTTTTTTTCTTTCTTTCCTTTCTTTTTTCTTTTTCTTTCTTCCTTCTCCCTGAGTTCGTCACTTTTGTGGTTCGTCCGCTAATCTGCTCCCTTGCCCATTTAGCCGCACCAGCGCCGCTCGATTTCGCCGTGCCAACACCGTCATAACTTTGCTCGATTTTGCCGCCGTCATAACTAGATCAGGTCTTGTCCAACGAAGCAAACACGTGGGCGGAACCGATTATTGACTCTCAACACCAACCCGAATCCGAGGGAGGAATCAATGATTTAATTCTCAAGCTTTCCGGGCGGTTTGGGGATTTTCTGATTTGGTCCCATAGATCTCTAGTTTACAAAGATTTTCTTAATTTCAATAGGTATCAGACTTTTGAAGTGTCTTCAAATGTGTCATCTACTCTGTTCAACTTGATATAAAGACAAGAGTCTCAGATGAATCTCTACAATAATTTCTGTTGTTCAATTCACCACCCAATCAATAAAATCTTCAATTTAAACCATCAAGAGAATAAAAACTTGTAAACATACTATTTGACATATCACATTATAGTTGCCCACTATATCTATAGTATGGAATACGCCGAATGGTCAAATAAGTCCATATACTTGCTCAAGGGCCATGGTAATTAAGGAAGAGTGGAAGACCACGCCAAGAAGCAGTCTGTTTTGTGGCTGGCCAAAGAAGACCACGTTAAGTACCTCTCAATC